ATGTGTAATTTTATGTATAATTTCAAAATAATGTTGGCAATGACCTAGCAATGAATTTGCTAGTTCAATAAGTATACCTAACAAAACAATTAATAATGCTGAAATGAATTTGTCCGACAAGAATACCATAATGTTTACAGGTCTGTGATAAAATTCACTAGTTCTTTAACGTAAGAAAATATGAATAATAATTGACAGCGATTTTAATAATCGAATTGGAATACCGGAAAAAAATCTCTAACGGTTTTTGCTCATTCCATTTTGTTAGTTATTGTCAGTGAACAACACTTTATGCAGATTTCATAACATATACACATAGATACTAAAGATGGCCAACAAAACATTCAGTCAAAACGTATATAAATTAAAAAAAATTTGTTTTTAAAAATTTAATGAAATAAAATATGCATACATTGTTTTTTTTTCTTTGGCACTACAATCGAACTAGAATAAGACATTAAAATGGTCATATTCAAAATTTTAATAATATTCCTGTATTTAAATACGGACAATTGAACTGTTATAGACATGACTAGTCTAAAAAGCAATGCTTAAAATGCAACGTAGCCGAGAAGAAATGTTTAAAAGATGATTAGAGAGAACGCCTTTTCAAAAAGACCATATGAATTCTCTTCACATCATCCAGAAATGACATAGCCTAGCGGTTAAAAATAATAAACTGTAAATGAAATCACTTCCTGCGGCGATGCTTTTCTACAAGGTCTCGCACCACCCCGTTTCGAGAGATTAACCAAACACTCAGCTGAAAAAGGGAGCAGTCTAAGTTTTATGAGTGTAAAATCATAAAAAATTCAATGTAAGATATTATATTTCTTAAAACGACCCCAATTCAGAACTCGTTGGGCGTAATTAATATTTATTATATTCGCCCTTTAATCATTTTCTCCAAATGTCGAGTTAAAAATGATCATAAAACAATAGACTTGAAATCATAATGTTTGAAATATCATTTAATATTGTTTCTATAGGTCATTGATATTTTGATCAGCGTTGCGATAATAAAATGTAATTTACTGGCACACAACGAATAATTACCGTAATTCACTCGACTGTAAGCTTTAATAAGCTAAACAATAATAGAATTGTGTACAATTACTATGTCCATTATAGCCAAAACACAAAATTAAGAGCAATTTTTATTAATTTGATGTATAAAAAAAATTCATTTGCATGAATAAGTACAAAAAAATAATTTTTTNAATAAAAGTCTACCGCTATTTAAATAATTGTGTGTTGTAAGATATAACCCACATGATCTTCATTGTTATCCATTTTATCTACAGGTAATTTAGTTTTTATGCAAAATAAAATAAACAGCGTCATGAATCATGTTAAAGATGATAGATAAAAAATGTTTTATTACATTCGAAATATAAATAAGAACATTTCCCACTTACATTTTTTTCATACGAAATGGTGTTGCTTTTAGCACAACGTGGATTTTGAGATTTGTACCACTAGACAAAGGGCTGAACGCAATAAACAGACTTAAAATATATTCACCTACACATTCGAGAATATGTTTCGGGACATTTCGGGAGGCTATTTATGTTCGTTTGGTTTATTTTCAACAATACTTGAAAGGATGAATTCCAATGGCGGCCCCATTTTAAAAGAGACCAAAAACTAAACAGTTAATCAGTACAATGGACCTCCCCTATATATCAATACATATTTTATAAATAAACTATTCATAACTATAAAAACAAACAAACATACCCGTTAACATGTTCACGTATGGATTACAATATCTATACGCATAATAATCGACATTCAATCCTTGGCATAAACTCTAACATGAATGTCTTTCATTATTTTATAACTAGAGTTTACATTTAGTGGTTTTTAACGACAGGGACATAATGTGTATTACAATTACAGCTGTTACCTTTCATTAACCTAGACGATTTGGAAATATTAATGGCGAATAATATGTTTTATAAACATTTTAACTGTTCATATATGCACATATATTTGCGATTCATTTGAGTTATAGAATAATTGCTTACTGAATTCTAGACAGACAGCGAATACAATAGATGACACAGGATTAACCCCTTCCTATACTTTTTCTTTAGTCAAAAAGAGATAAAACGCAAATGTCTACTAATATAAATTATTGTGTAAAATTAGATACTCTTTCAGATAGTGATCGTTTATAGCAGTCCTCTCTTAAATAAAATTACATCCGAATGGATTATAAAACGTTTTTAACTAATACTAGCAAATCAAGCATCCTTATTGCAACAAGACCAAAGAAAAAAAAATCATTATAATTATAAATTTATATTCTTTCTCATAACAAAATAAGGTACACACAATGCTTCATTTCTAAATGTAATGATTTTGTTGAAAATTAAAATATGTCGTTCATAAAATGTCCCGTGAAATACTGAAACGTATGCGAGAAAAATCTGAACATCAACGAACAAAAAAATTTCAATGCAATAAATTTGATGATGAATAATGAGATTTCTGATGTTTTTTGATATAAGCCAAAAAAAAAATATGTACCAATGAGTTTTGTTAGTACAGTTCCCAACAGAATACTTCAAGTAAAACCATTACGAGAAATACGAATGAAATATGTGTTTACAACAATTTCCCTAAGGAAATCGAAGACATACAAGTATTGCCTTTAATGAACAATGTATCGTACAAATTACATAACTGATATATTTGAAGAATAATCACACAATATAAATACATTTTAACTGACAGATTTATCAATTCTTCGAGGGTGAATCACAATTAAGGTGGTGTCATGAGAGATATTACTCCGAAGAATTGAAATAGTATTCAAGCCATGTTAGAATTTTTACATAAAAAAGTAGTTTGTACACTAAATAATTAAAGTTTTGAGTTAAAAAGTTTTCACCGGAAAAAAATTAACTAACTTTTGCACATTTGAGAATACATTTACAGACGGGTCTTTACATTATAAATTTCAATCTACATAAATAGTAGTGATTCATAGTAAAACTTATGCAGTTATCAAACATTAAAAATAAAAATGATTAAGAAGAAAACTTTGAAATTATTAGTCGAAAATTGCATAAAAACAACAAATTTATAGAATTTTCAAATAAACTTGAATTACGGTTTTGATATTTTTTTTACTTAACAATTTATTAATGAGGGAGTAGTTATAATAGATAATAATATTTGCCGCTTATAACTTGTAAACATAGTAAGAGATCAGAGGTATATAATTTTTTAACAATATAACTCTGTACAGGTATGTCTTGAGATTCCTATGAGAAAACTGTAAACATAAGAATGAAAAATACTACTGGTACATAAATACATTATTGTGGTACTCACCCAATAAGAATTTTCGGGTTTATTATTTCCAGTGCATTATCACATGTCATAAAAGAACTCAACGCATTCCTAGTGAATTAAGAAACGTCAATAGTATACAACACATTCGTATGATACCACAGGCACAATCGATGCGAATGCTATGACATTGTATCTAAGCGTATTATGTACTACACATGGGAAGAAGACTAGGAAAAAAAAAAATTACACTCATAAAACGACACTGACACAAAAGGAACTAGTCGACGACCAAGAGAAGGACCTTCTAATACCTGTGGCATGCGTGCACGCCGCCTGAACGTCGTACTTACTCCTCCCCAACAGTCACTCAACATGCTATTACCACTGGTAACGGGAAAAAGTGGTTTCGCGCCAACGACCACACACGAGATATTACACGTTGGTGCCGCCATCTATACACTTATTCTTCTATAATATTATCAAGTACAATAAACGATAATTATAATTAAGTTTGACTCGCAGACTATGTGTTTCCATATAGTCTGTGTTTGAGGAGTCACAGTTGAACAACATACGGCGTGAATGATAATATATGATTGACATTAACGGTTCCACACAGATTAATTATAATTCCCGGTCTATGAGTTATCACAGGATTTTAGATTTTAGATTATGGATTATTATTATTATTATCTTCTAGATCCACTCTAGGATAAAATTGTTATATAATTTAAAATACTGTTTCAAAAGTTGTTATTTTCTTAGAAAGATAATTTTGTTATTTTTTGACAAGCCCACTCAAATTGATATTGACAAAATAATGATATTTCATATAATATTAATATTGATTTCACCAAAAAAACTGCCGACGACGAAATTATAATATTAATATTTGATAATCCTTCCGAAATAATTTTTAAGAATATATTCAAACATATAACAAAAATATATACATTTATAGAGCCTTAAAATTTGTTAAGATTCTAATATTAAGATTATAACATTTAACTTTAACACTAAGACAGTTTTAGATTAGATTAAGTGTTATAATTTTAGATTAATGGAATTTTTGAATTTGTAGACAATTTATTTAGAAATCAATCATTAAGTGCACCTTAATGTGTATAGGCAACTATTATGACACTGATTACACAAAAACCAAGAAAGCTAAAACTGATTTGTAATACTTAGTTAAATTGGGTAATATGTCACAATAATCTATAAAAAAATTAACATTAAAATCAACATCATAACATGCACCAAAAATTTATTTTAAATTATTCACTATTTTCTGAAATCTAAAAGTCTAATCACATATTTTTACATGCTCTTGTTAATATTTTTTTTATCTATTAACAATTATTTAAAACATATTTTTTACATGCTCATAGTCTTGACACTAAGTTAAAGGAGTTAGCTCTAATTAAATTTTTTTGGCACATACCACACCATTCAACCTAAACCTTACCTTAAAATCTGATGGTTAAAATAAATAGCATAAATCTTTCAAAAAATGTATAAAAACATTTTAACAAAATTACATAACAAAATGCATAAATAATAATTTTATATAATCATATAAAATAGGTAAATATTGTTTAAAGTATAGATAAAGTTAATATCTAATATAATTTAAAAAAATTATTCTAATACTACATACATTAAAAATAAAATGGAGTAAAATAATTAGTTACTTGTGCAACGTTTTCAAAATGTTCATGACTTTTCTGGTAAACCCTTGCTTTTTGTAAAGTTCGACCGATTCCTGTATTTTTCCTTAAAAACACTTCTCCATGATTAGATAACCAATCTAACACCTAAAATTTATTAAAATATATTAATTTATAGTTATTTCATAAAAATGAATTTTTATAAATTTGAAGAAAACAATTTTTGCTATATACCTGTTTGACATCTTCTTGAAAAAGTCTAAGAGCTAATTTTTGATGAAGTCTAATTTTTTTAGAATGCCAACAATGTTCTAAACTTCGGTGGTGATTTAAAATTTGATGAATTACAGCTAAAACATGACTTGCGCCTTCAGAATAATCGGCAGCAGCTTGTTGATGATTTGTTGATTTCTTTGTATTAGTAGAAGAATCTGACTCAGCAATATCCAACTAATATTGAATTACCATTTTTATTTTAAGTTAAAACGATTATGATACTTTTTAAAAGCATAAAAAGAATGGTGAAAAATCATGCGTGTTAAAAAAGCTTACATGTTTATGATGTTGATCAGCGACTGGTGTCAAGTCACTTTGATTACACACCTGAACTAAGTGGTCCAACTGATAGAGCAGCTTCTTACTCGTGCTATGAACCTAACCCAAAACCAGAATGATAATAACCCAACATGCATTTTGTAGTATTACAAGCCTAAGTCATTAATTTTGAATAGAGCCTAACTTTATTAAAAATATAACATTAAAAATCAATCATCTCAGATTTATGATAATGTCACTAGTTCATAGTCTAAAACATTTTTGTGTATAAAAAAGGAATGTTCATACATAAAAGTCACTCAATAGCAGTCTAATTTTTTTCTTTTAATATACATTAAACACAAAACAAAGGAAGTTTCAATAAGACTAAGCTCTATTCATAACAATGACTTGTATAATACATAATTAGAATAATTATAAAATTAAGTAATGTATACTCTATGCAAGACCGTAAACCAAGTTTTTTTTTTAAGGAATTACCCATAACCAAAGCATAGAATGAAACAGGGTGCTACCATTTTCAAAAAGAATGTTTGCAACAAAGCCAAATTATTTTATGACTTATTAACAATTAAACATACATTTTTTTGTAAGGAATCATTGTAAGGTATAAATGGCACGTTGCTTGGAGGAGTGGGATAACTTTCACAGACTTGTACTAAAGTATCCAACCCATTTAATAGGCTCTGATACGCATTATACACCTACATTTTTCTCAAATATATGAATAATGTACAAAAATTATAATTATTCAAATATTTATTTATTATTATAATACCTCTGTATATGCTTGGCACATGAGTTCATACAAATTTTGATGCTGATGAATAGAATTTTCCAATACTATTATTTCATTAGGTATGGTAACTTTATCAATGGCTTCATCCCAGCTTGGTACATTTTCAACATACTGAAATAGAATAAATATTTATATGAATAATTATTTAGTAGTTGAATTAGTCATAACACTATAGAAAAATTATAAAGGATATTTATAATTTTTATTTTAAATACAAACAACAGAAATTCTATTTACTTCAGCTACAAGATTTAACTCTCTTTAATAGAAGATATTTCTTTTTTCAAGAAAATTTATACTATGTAACCAAGAAAAAAGAATGGTAGCACAGTGTGGACATGACATAATTGGAAAAAGTATTGATGATATCTTACAGTGATTAAAATCAGACATAAGAAACACTTTGATGCATATCTGTAGTGTTTAATTTAAAGGAATTGGTGGTTTATTCCAAAAGCAAAATAAACACCTATTTCCTTATTTATATCTTGATTACAAGTTTTATGATATATAAATATAATATATGTATAAATATTTAAAAAATTTGTTTAATTTTGATGGCCATTTGCATCATAGTAAAATTAATACCTTCTCAGCTACACATCAAAGCCAATAAATAGCTTTTAAAAAAAGGAAAATTATTTTTTATTTTTAAATTGTCCTTAAAAAGTTAGCTTAAATTTAATGTGACGTTTTATAAAATGTTGATTACAATAACTGCATATCTTTATTAGGGATATAAATTATTACATACCTGTTGGGCTTTATGATGGAATAGCACAGATAATGCTAAAACAGATGTTCTTTCATCTAATCCAGCAGCAAACTGCTTCCATGTCCTATCTAATCGCTGGGCAACAGTCCGTATATGATTAGACGCATAATGGCCAGATTCTATCATACGATGTGCAACAGCAACAATACGGTTTATATTGACATAGACATTCTATATTACACAAATTACTTTAATAATTCAAATTTATTTTTTCATTATCTTAAACAATTTAAATTTACCATTGAACTCATGGTAAAATGGTTATGTTCTTCCTGTATGTCTTTTGCAAGTTGATATGAATGTCCAATTTCAACATAACTCATTAAAAATACATCACGGTTATGACAAATCCAGTCAAACATCTAAATTAATAAAATTATAATAATAAATATTATTTATAGACCAGATATATTTTTATAACATTTAAAGTTTTAAAGTTAAAAGAAAATTTATAAATATGTATGCACAATTATTGATAAATTATAATTTGTCAGCAGTATTCAAGTCCATATGACTATTAACTAATTACTTAGTTTTTTAATTAATACAATTTTTTTTATCATCAAGTGATTTTCAAGAAGCTCAACAACAAAATATGTTTATACACTTTTTAATGAAACAGTTTTATATACAGGTTTCTATTGTTTGAATTGTTTATAACAAATGAACTGTTTCCTTACTTGCTGAACACCCTGTATTATCAAATAATAATTACCTTTTCACAATCTTGTTCAAACAGTCTTAGTTGGAAACATTGATCCAGTTTAAGTTTTTTGTGTTGCCACAATTGCAACACATGTTTATGAGTTGTTCTGATAGTATCTAACTGTTGAAGTATTTGAGGAACAGCAGCTTGTAAGTCAGGATTGCTAACACCATTACTAGCTTCACTATCACGTCCTGAGTACCCAGAGTCATAACCACTATTATTATCACCAGATAACCTAAATACAAATATAACTAAATTCAATAAATATTCAAAGAAAACTTAATTTTGATAAAATTTAATATTTTCGATTTTAATAAGAAGTAAAGAAAATACATAACAGAATGATAGTTCAATAATTTGAAACTCATTCATATATTATTCTTGCAAAGTATTTAATCAGACAATACTTATCATTTTTTATTTAATTACTATTTTGTTAAAATTTTTATTTTAATTATTGTCTCCTTAGACTATACTCAAAGTGTATTTTTATTATTTATCTTAATAATACAATTTTTATATTTTTCTAAATTTAAAAATAACCAGTTTTTAATTCTTGTATTTATTAGTAAAAGTAACCATTTTTTAGATTTTTAGATAGTAACCGTTTCTAAATAAAATTTTGATGAGCTTATAATAATTTTAGGGCATATTCCTATTAAGATACAAGTATTTTAATAGAAAGAGAGGGTATGGAGCGTGGATGGTTGCAGCTTGTACTAGTATATATATACTATGCTCAAACTTAATAAACATTTATTCTAAAATTATTACTAACCCATCAGAATATTTTGCAAGAAAAAAGAAAAATACTGGCTCTTCTTTTTTTTCCTTGCCTTAATCCCAACTACTTGGGCCGGTCACCCTTATTGTAAACTTCCACTTGACACAACCTACCACATCATTTACGCTCACATTAGCCATGCTCATATTGAGGATGGCATTCAATTACATACCTCCATCTCGTTTTTGGTCTTCCTTTACCTCTTCTTCCTTCAACATTCATCTCTATAAGTATTCTTACAGCTTCTGATTTCTCTCTCCTCATAACATGACAAAACCATCCAAGTCTATTTTCTCTTATCTTATCTTAGATAAAAACAGATCGTTTTGAAATTTAAAAAAATAAAAATTAAAAATTTTTCTTATTAATATAAATAATAAAAAATATGCATTTAACATAGCCTTAGGCTATAATTGGCCTATAAAGCAATATTAAAAAAAAAAAAATTTCATGTTTATCATTTTCCATGATAAATAAATCATAAGTTATACGTGTTGTCAATGAAATCTGATATATATTGTATAGAATTCCTATAATTATAGTAATAAAATACTATTTAATATGTAATTAAAACGTTTTTCCATCTAACATTTTTAACAACTCTACCTCTGTAACAGCTGTTGTCCAGCTAAATCCATATCTTCAACAGGAGTTTTAAGTACTTTCTTTTTCATATCGGTATGAAAGTCTAAGGCAAGTTTGGCACCAGCAATATCGTCTCTACAATCATTGCGACTTAAGTCTTCTTGTAGATCGTCCAAACGATCTAATAAGTCAGCCGCTTGCCACATAAATTCTTCGATGCTCTTAATAAGAAAAATAATTACATTAATATTTATAACTCAGAATCATAATAACTTATTTTTAAATGAACGGTTACTCACTAGTCGAATATCAATCCACTGAGGATGATCGTAATGTAGAGATCCATCGAGGTCCGACGTTAATTGCGTCGAATCTATAAACTTAGACAGTCCTTCTAAATTTAACATCGTTGTCTAAAAAATAATTTATATTTGTTTAGTGAGATGATCAAAAGCAGAAACGTCAAATTATTTTATACATACTTCAAATTTGTATTTATGACTAGCCATGCTGGTTCGTTGTTTGTGCCAAAAGTTATCGGGTTTTACAACATACACAGCATACACGTGGTTTCCATTGCCTCCAGCACACCAATCTTGGAGGGCTTTTAAGATTAGTTTGACGGACGACCAACCCGATCCTCCACGCATGTCAATTACCGCCACTAATCCAGATTCTTTAACTTCACATCTGCCAATTAGACATTACATTAAGATAGAATAATTTCTATGTATTCAATTTCGTGACTGAGTTTATTTCTTGCAAGATTATTATATTTTAGTTAAGTACACAATAATCTGTCACCGAAAAAAAATGTTCATTGTTATTTAAATTAAGTTAGTCAAAGAAAAAAGAGGAAGAACGAAAAATTAAATTTGTTATATTTAAACCATAAATAATATTAATCTAAATTATTCATGACTAGCTTTTATATTAAAGTGAGAATAGAGATTCTTTTACAAATCGTATACATTGAGCATATTAGAATAATAGACTGAGATAAAAACATTTTAAAGACCAGACGGTAAGTATAATATCCTATACAGTCCTAAGTATAAGTCCATTTTCTTAATACGTTGTAGGGCAAGTGTAGGTTGTTTGAAGGTATTTTTCTTTTATATATAAACGTCTGAATATAATAGATGAGCCCTTACGGTGGTATTGAACCGAAGTACTGTAACAAGCGTCTGTAATCTTCCTGCTTAGCTCTTTCCCTCCTCGGCGTTGAAGGGAAGGTCACAATGGGTGCGCCTCGTTTATCTCGGCCTCCGGTGAGGAATGCTATCTTCTCTTGAAGCAGCCCCATTACCTCTAAAGCTCGTACGCTGTCCATAATTAACCTGAAAACAAAAATGATAAAATTATAAAATAATATATATATATATATATATATATTATATCGTAATTACTTAACAATAAAATGAAAAATATATTTATTATTTTAATTATTATCGTGCCTTACAATGGTACGGTTTAATGTGAGAAAATAATAATCCAATACAATAGTTCATTTATTTTAAATAGACTGTTTAAGTTCGACCTAAATTATATAATCCTGATTAATTTTATGGAAAATACAAAAAAATAGTAACGGATGTAATTCTTGTTATTTAAGACAAGCTATTTACAAGGTTATTTATTCTACACTAAGTATACTTAACACAATAGATAAATGATAATAATAAAAATGAAATTGAATGCCAGACAATATACTCCAGAGTATAAATAATGATAATAATTGTTCAGAGATTTCAAAAAAAAATTATTACCGGCTTATGGATGAGTAAAGCCCCGTTAAGGCCATTTAATTAATTTATTATCGAAGTGTGATGACCGTGATTATAGCACATGGGTATAATAACAATCGTTTCAGTTCCTAGTCATATAGGTTAAAAATATAATTAAATAAAAAACAAGTATATTTATCAACGACGATAATTTACCTTTGGACAACAAAGGATGGTGGAATAAATATACCATTATACAATCTTAATCATAAGAAAAGTCGCAAAATAAAATAATTATTTATTAAATATTTAAAGTCAATAAGCTTATCAAATGAAATCATCAAAATTTCTCCGCATTTTTATTTCAAACGCAAATAAAATTAAGAGTAATAAATACAAGAGTAGAACAAAACAATCTTAATAAATGCTAAAACAATCAAATATCATTTTTTTCTCTCGTCAAAAATGTTAATCAATTATGTTGAAGGTTCTATATTCACTGGATAATTGCATTCATTTTAGCTCTCCAAGAACATCGCGTATACTAACACTTTGTTTAAATAATGCAAAAGTAACATTATATAGTGTCAACTAAAAAATCATCACTCGAAAAATTATGAATGCATTATTTAAAAGTATAAATTACGCAGACTAGCAAATTGTTTTTCATCATAGTCGTGATCTAGAACAGAAGTTATGAACATTATAAAAACCGTTAAAAAAATAATCGTGATTTGTTTTCTATTGGGACCAACGAAAACGGTTGCAATTACCATAATGATAAAGTTCAATGGCTTAAAACAACCAGATATTCAACAAACACATTTTACATATATTATTAAAAAATCATCGTTAATTTTAAATATTTTGAATACTCCAAGCAAAAAAAAAAATTATCAGGAACAGTAATAATAGATATAACGCGTATAAAATACATGAAAAGGATGTTAGTGTTGAATACAGTGATATTTCAGGAGAAACAAGAGCCTCCCTAACTGTCTTTGGGTGACAATGATAAATAGCTGTTTTTGAAAATTGACGCCATGTTTCGTTTAATATTGATTTAAAAACAATTTTTTTTTTTTACTCGTCAACTTTTTATGGTAATAATTTTATGAAAATATTCCTTAGTCAAAAATTCTGAATGTAACACTGCGAATAATTTTGTAGATTTTATTTAAGAACTAATATAACTACTATACTAAAAAACTACTATTTTTAGGCCATAGATATCATAGAGAGCTTAAAATTCGAATATTTCAAACTGATTGAAGCACGTGGAAAACTGATAGGTACTTAAGTTTATTTTTAGGTTAAGATCAAACGGCTGTTCTCGCAGTGACGTTAAAGTCCATAAATCAATAAATTTGATACGCGCAGACGGAACTATTTTTCTATTTCATCTGTATAATTATAATATCTTTAAGACAATGTGCAATGAATGTCAAGTTTTAAAGAATCCACAAGGCTATAATTCTAAAACAATAGTAAATCTCGATTGTATTTAAATCATTGCATTCACATACATACGAAGTGATCGAATATCAAAAACAGTTGTTTATTAAAATTAGATTGATGTGTATTATACAGACTTGAGTGGAGTTATTATTTTTTTAATATATTCAAGCCTTTGAGATATAAGCAATTACTCAAAATTAATGTAAAACAATAAAAACTGCACAGTTTGGATAGAGGAGGCTAAATAAATAAATAATGACGAAATAAATCAACCAGTTAAAACTTATATAAGTTTAAAAGTAGACTTGTTGTAAAAAAAAAGGTTAAAAAGTGGGTAGAATTAATTGGGCGGACGGTGAGAAAGACACGTTTAGCCGTTACGAAAAATCGCATTACCAAGAATAATTTTTTGGATAACAGCCAGAAAAAGATATATCAGTAAAAATGAAACGTACATAAATCTAAAATCTAAATGAAAACATAAATCTATTACTTTGTTTATAATCGGAAGAATAATTATGATTAGTAGTTAATTAAAGATGAGAAAATTATTCAATATAATAGACAATCATCTTAGTATATTATAATAACCCATTGTGAAACAATCAAGACAAAATAATAATTTCATATTATTTGTTTTGGCGTCGCGTTTCATTATTATTTAAAAAATTGATACTATTTTAATCATGATCATATATTATGTCGCATTCGTAGTACTAGAACCCTATAACGGTAATAAATTATAAAAAATGACACTTATGAACTAATCAAATTGATAGTTAATTATTATTGATGTTTGCAAAAAAAAAAAAAACTCCGAACATTTCAATGAAATTTATTTTTTGTCAATTCACACAATTATCATTAGATTAACAATTTTAAATTAATAGACAATATATTTTTAAATGTTTTTTGTCATAAAAAAATATATAGACTATATATGTAGATAAAAATTATATATATCAATAGTATTACAAAAAATTAAATCAATTTGAAACAACAATGTGTTCTCAGATTATGATACATTGTATGAAAAAAGTATACTATACTACTTAAAAAATATCAAAATTCATAATAACAAGAGAGTTATGTTGATTAATCATAGTAGTCAAAACAACCAGTATTAAAGTTCAGCCGAAATTTAACCGAATCTGATTAGTTAGTGTCACTAACAGAAAAAACGCATGACAGAAAAATAATTGTTGTGAAAAATGATTGTTATTATGCGCATAACAAACGGAAGCTTAACAAATTGTACACGTTTGCCGATTTTGACAAAGAATAATTTTAACTTAAAATAAATGCTCAAATTATCAGAAAAGTGATAGCTGCTAGTAATTATGACACGCAACTTAATTAAAAAGTTAACTTTTGTCGATGACGATGTGTCTTAATCGTCAAATAAGTTATTTACTAATAAATTATGCGAATTTTAAAGAAGCGGCGCGTACGACGACCTGTAAGAAATGATGGTCAATGATTTCCCTGATGTGTGGGAAAGCAAATTCATTTGTTCCTTTATGTTTGGAGGTTACATCGTTGAATCAATTAACCGTAGAAATAATTACATGAATGTGTACGGCATGTATGATAAAAAATAAGCAAAATTTATGATATACACACGAATTTAGATAGATAAATTTCACAATCAATTTTACAGAATAACAACACTATAAAAAAACTAATATTGAGACATTTTTAACGTTATTTTTTGTTTTTAATATTATTATTCTCGGTAGAAATGCGAGCACATCTTACGACGAATAAAAAACTAACTGGCAGCTTAATCTGTAAGTTTTATGACTGAATTATAATAATAAACGCCGGGTTAATAAACTAAAGGCCAAGATTACTAGCGCAGTTTCTGCTGCAGTTCCCACCAATGTATACTTAGTTGTACTGTGCATTATATTATTATTACATTATACCAATCTCATCGATTCCGAGTATTCGGTGGTGGTTATACAGGTTTACCTAGTGAAAAAAAAATCAATATATAAGTAAAACAATGCCTTTCGTATGTAATTTATTATGTTGGCTTTGTTATCGTGTATTCGTCGCGTGTCTAGTCGAGATGTAAGCAAACTCTAAGCACAGTACCTCAGACGAGGCACTCACACCACGTTTCTCTGCTCTGTGAAAACACCTGAAGCTTCCATCAGTCTTCTTTTTATCGTTAATATTATATTGAATAATTAACACAGTCGTACATTTTTCCTAGAGATGTCTAGAGATATACTTAATGATAACCAATAACTGGCGTTGAATGCATTACAAGCGTCTCAAATATTCTCTTTGTTTTTTCATTATCGAATTAATAAAATTGAGCGTTCAGGCGAACGTTAAACTTAAATCATTGAAGGTTCAAAAAAAAAAAAAAAGTTTATTACTCAACACTTTTTCAATCTTAGACGTCATTAAAAAAATAAAAAACCAACATGGCAATAATAAAAACATGAATGAAATTTTTTTCTTTATTTAAAACGACTTGAACCTCCTTAATTATATCCACATAACTATAACTCCTACGAGCGTGTTAGATGTTTTAATATGATAACAGTAGGTGCCTTGAATTTAATAATTTACTTAAAACTTACTAACATAACAAAAACTTATTTGCATATCAAACCTTGCAGCTAATAATGTTACTATCAGAAAGGGAACATTCAATTAAAGGGCAAATAATCATTTGGGAATAAAGGTGTGTAAATAATACTCAACTAAACAATTTTCGCATTAAACTAAAAGTTTAATAAAAAATTATAAAAATCAATGAAAATTAATGGTATGTGTCAAGACGGAAAATACAAAAATATTCTTAAACAATAATTTAAAAAAAAGTGAAGCACGTGACGCATTGAGTTTAATGTCAAATAATCTTCATGTTTCGTTTAATGCCTATAAATTATAATGATGCAATTAACATTTAACCTATACTATGTGCTGAGTATATAAGTATTAAAGAAACAAACCAAGTCCAACAACAGGTGAGTTGATTAAAATAATTTATGAGTATTTACGTTACAAAACGTATAGTAATAATTCTCAAACAACGATTTTTACAATGTACACATATCTCAATAGATAAATCATAAAATCATTAGTACGTCATGTGTAATTTTAGCATAAAAAAGAGCAACAAACTTTTGAGTTAA